ACATTGATGTGTATATAACTTTCTTCACGCCATAATCATAACGTGTCCTCGACTCGCTACCGCTACCATAATGACACCACCGTAGTCGATCAATGTCATCATTTTCCTTTCAGTGTTGCCCGTAAAATCAGCCGTCGATTGACGAGAAACCCCAAATTAGCTCACCCAAATTGTAATTTTGGGAAGATGGGGGCTATCATGATCATGATCATTTTGTATTGACCAGCCCCGTTGCCCGAGAAATGGTCATACTTGCACGGAGATTGGAGGAATGGGTCAACGTGCGAGATGTGCCGTTGGAATCCACATCTGCTCATGGAATTAGAATTTGACCACACCAAAATCGAAGTGCTCCGAAAGGGCCACAAGGGGGCTAAGTTCGAAAGCCACTTTCACGAGCGTTCTTCACTTCTACTATTATTGCATGTGCGTCATTTTGTAGCCTATGAGTTTTGGTGGTCCAAGCAAAGTATGCCCAAGAATTGCTGTATTGACCGGTCTACAAACAGCACCTCCACCTGATTTGCACTATGCGAATTCGAACGCGATGTGCTTTGGTGGTCGCAAAGTAGATGAGTACCGAATTACACTGTTCACGATGATGATTCGTGATCTTCAAAGTTTCAACTTTAGTGCAGAAAAGAAGAAGATTTTCTTCCGTAGAAAGTTTTGTGCTTATCCTGAAATTCTTCAACTTTTACTTTCGTGAATGAATGCGTAGAAAATGTTGGCTTCCTCCTTTCGTCCTTCCTTTTAGGAGTTGCTTGTCCTTTTTGGGTGGGATGTGACCCTGGCCCATTTAGCTTCGTATCGGATTTTATGGGCTCCAAAGTTTATTACTGTTCGAATGGCTTGAAGGGTGGGTTTTCCATAAGCACATTTCCTTGCGAAAACAAAACTTTTGTACCCCCAAAAGAATCGCCAGTTTCTCTTTTTCTTCTTTCTTCTTTTTCGAGGTGGGAGGTAGACCCCGGTCGCGAACCCCGGTGGTGCGTCGGGGCTGCCTATGCTTTGCTTGAGCCGACAAGGTCCGAAGCGCGAAACGAACAGGCCTAGCAAAGATGTATTCTTCTTCGGCTTCGGCCAGCCCACCCATTGATAGTTTTCTTTTTCTCAACCGTGAACGGGTTCGGGCAAAAGATTTTTGGACCAGGTAGACTGCCTATAGCCCACCCATTGATCTGGTCCGATGGGAGGTGGAGGGGGAAATGTTGGATTGGGCCATCAACTAGCTTCGAACCTCATCTTAATGGCATTTTCTAAGGGCTCAATGTCACCGACTCTCTTCTCTTTGCATCAACCTTTCCTCCGAAAAGACTAAGTTTTGAGGAAAAAACTCGGTCCAATACCCTAAAAAACCCTCTCTCTAAACCTTTTTTATCTCATAAAAAAATCCTCAACTATTGGTCCGGTTCCATATCTGCATTTCCACGTCATTACTCCGTCCAAAATCACCCTAAGTGATATGGCATTTCCACGTCATTACTCTAGTTTTTCCCCAAATTTCAAATCCAAGAAGATGCCTTTTGGAGATAAATTTCCACGTTGAGCCCATCTGAAATGTGGGTAAAAAGAGCAATTAGGGATGGCCTTCTTCAATTGCTCTTACTCTTACGAGAGTTTTTCTTCCATCTTGCTCGGAGATCTTTGATTTTGCGATTAGTATTCAATATCTTGTACTCGGGAGACTTCCATTTCTCATGGTCAAAGAGCTCGCACTCAGGATGCTTAAACGGCCCGCACTTGGGTGTTTTTTCATCTCTTGGTTGTCAAGAGACATTTTAAAAGGAGGATTAATGGGGGCAAATTTGGGCCTCAAATAAAAGTTTGTAATTTTTTATGAGACAAAAAAAAAATTTATGATAGATTGTGTGATTAGACCTAAAAATGGGGGTTTTTTTTGGGACAAAAAAAAAAGTTCATAGTAGAATTAGAACACGACCTAAAGTTGAAGGCTTTTTATGAGACAAAAATAATTAAGGTAGAATTAGGACTTGACGTAAACTTGGAGATTTTTTAGGGTATTAGGTCGAACAAAACCCACATCGCACGTCTAACATTTCTTAACACTCTATTCATGCATGTGAGTCAAGCCTTACAAGTAAAACACTATACACAAAACTGCAACTCAGATCGAATGGGCAAGTCAGACCCATGGCTCAAGGCTAGCTTGTTGTCCAAGCCCATCACGAAACTATGTGCGCGTAATTTCCCAGCCGATGCTGAAGCGGAACTTTACATGTCCGATACTTAGGTGGAAACAAGGGTTGAAAAATAACAATACATGGGCTTACCGATCTACCAAATTCATTCGAAATCCTGAGGCCTGATCTATGTACGCAATCTCTTTACTCATGGAATACAACCATCTATTAATTTCTTTTGCACCCACACAACAAGCCAAATGTTCAAATTTCATTAATTATCTCCACTCAATTTCGCTTTCACCGTCACTTTCACCGTGGTCATGAATACATCGTACGGGTTTGAGTTCATGAGAATCGACAACTGCCATATAAATATCTTGACTCCAATCATTTGGAGGTCATTCCAGTATTCGGAGTTTACCTCGATTCAAACATCTATTGAGATTATAGCATCCGACACGTTTTCGAATTTCGATATCTGTATTTTCGACGTGGGAGATTGAGATGAAAGAGGAATCAAGATCTTTCTTTCGATTCCCAATGCCGTTTGAGTGCCCTCGGACCGCAGATTAAGGAAAGTATCTCTGAGCGGACAACAACTCTTGCCACTTTAATAAGCAAAAGGGGGAAAGAAAACACCACGCCCTTCCGTTTTTCCCAGTTCGGTAGTCTCTTCATCATCGTGGAGGCTAATGATGATGAGGGCTGAGGAAGGGATAGAGCTTAACTTGTGTCGACCCGTCAATCGATTTCATCATGACCTATAACCCTATGGAACGCCCATTTTTTGAGGTTGGGAGGGTTGAACTTTCCCTAATCGGAAAAAAAGTAGAAAGCAAGCATCGATCGAAATCAGCAGAGCGTGACTTGGCACCACTTCATCAAGCAAAGATGAAGGAAAAAAGGAGCCCTTCCTTGGCTTTCTGGTCCCAATCTCCTGGTGAAATCTCCAGTTCAATGATGAGAGGACCGAGGAGAGAAGGGTTATTATTATTATAAGCTAAAGCATCATCACCATTCCTAATTTGTATCATGGTGAAGTTAGAAAGCAAACATCGATCGAAATCAGCAGCATGACTTGGCACCACTTCATCAAGCAAAGATGAAGGAAAAAAGGGGCCCTTCCTTGGCTTTCTGGTCCCAATCTCCTGGTGAAATCTCCAGTTCAATGATGGGAGGGCCGAGGAGAGAAGGGTTATTATTATTATAAGCTAACGTTTCATCACCATTCCCAATTTGTATCATGGTGAAGTTAGAGTGAAGCTCGCGCCTACCCAAATGCCCACTTTCCAAGTTGGGGGAAGGGAATGAAAGGTTGAATTTAAACCTCATTGGTGAAAGTCGAGAGCGAGCATGATCAGATTCACAAGCACACCAACTTCACACAAATGAAGTAAAAAAGGAGTTTGAGGTGATCGAATCTCAACCCTAGTCAGCCTAGCACATTGCCTATTCGACTAATTATACTTGCCTTTCTATGATTGGATAGGCTAGTTACTTTGATCATCGAAAAAGATGAAATCTTGTTCATCACTCTCTGCCTTTCTTTTTGTCAGCTTGTAGCCCAACCAGCAAGCAAAGTATAACCGACATATTCATTTTTAAATTTTCCCACTTCAATAGTCACCACCCGTTCCATATCCATACATCTACATCCACACCTAATGATTGATATGCCAGACCCAATGTGGAAAGCGATTGCAGGGGGGGGGGAAACGATTATATATAATCATTGCAAAATTCATATCATAGAGAAAATAAGTCAATATTGCCATCTCGAGAACATGTCCTTCCTCTAGCACCTAAGTTGCGTGTGATTCAGAGCCTGTTTGATTCAGCTTTTGAAAAATGGATATGGCAAAATGCAAAGACCTTTGAGCTAAAAAGATTTTCCGAAATGCAAGTAGTGTTTGGTAATGTGTATTTTAAAATCTCATTTGAAAGCAACTTTGGCCTAAATACCGTTTGGTAAAAATTATTTGTAAAAGACTTTTGCTGATATTAAAAAAAAAAAAAAAAAAAAAGCTAGCCACCGACCACCACCGCCGGCCAGATCTGGTCACCGGCCAACCGCCGACGACCAGATCTAGGTCGCCGGCCAGCCTCGCCTAACCTCAAGCGAGGCGGCCTGAGGTCGCGCGACCTCAGGCGGCGGTCACCTGGGGGTCGTGCAACCCCGGCGACCGCCGCCTGGGGTCGCCGAACCTCAAGCGTTGCCTGGGTCGCGCGACCTAGGCGACGTCTGAGGTCCGGCGACCCCAGTCAACGTCACTGGGGTCACGCGACCTCGGCTACCACCGCCTAGGGTCGCGCGACCTCAGGCGGCGGTCGCTGGGGTCGCGCAACCTCGGCGACCACCGCCTAGGATCGCGCGACCTTAGGCGGCGGTCGCCGGGGCGCTAGCCCTCAGGCGGTGGTCGCCGGCCGCCGGACCAGCCGCTCGGGAAGATGATCAACAGTACCCGATTGCATTTCGAAAATGCAACTTGCTCCTCGTGAGCTTCCTTCAGCCAAAGGCCCTTAGAAAGCTTTGGAGATGCAATTGCATCTCCACAAAGCTTGCCAAAAAATTTACCAAACAACTTTGTATTTGTTCAAGGGACTTTAGACCCCCAAAGCAGCATTTGAAAGCTTTTTTAAAACAGGCCCTCAATTAATATATGAAAAATTAGGAGTTGGCAATAAGAGGGAGGGAGGCGGAGAGGGAGAACATGAATTTATATACCTTTCTTGCCATCTGGAGCTTCAAGACCTAACAACTGTTTATTTAGCTATTTATGGTGATGAAATGAGAGCTAAGGGTAACATTGAAGCAACAGCCCCCACCAAGGACAAATTGGTAGCTACCAAAGATGAAGAGAACCATACAAATCTAGGGATATTGAATTCAAGAATTCAATGACAAACGAGATGAAATCTTATGACACATTGATGATAATGGTCCCTGCCCTGTCGTATATAACAGCACCCCCTCCCCCATTTATTTCTTCTGACACTGGTGAATTGGATCCTCAGAATTTTCTTGGAGGGGGTGTCGAAATAAATCTAAATACAAGAAAGAATGTAAAAACCAAATGACGAGACAAACCCACCAGAACTGGCGATCCACACTCAAAAGGAGGGAAAAAAAAAAGATCTTTGCTTTTTCAAAGATTTTCAATAGCTCACTCAAACAATTCCCAGTTGAATCTTGGCTGGACTGGATTGTTATTAATGGCGACTGGAGAGGTGGTGGATGTGGACGAAGCAAGAGCTGGCACCAATGGTGGGACCGCATCAAATGTCTCCCATTTCGTAGTCACAACTGTCCCTGATGATGATCTTCTTGGGTCTTCCTCTTCTCCTTGCTTCTTGTTCCGATTCTGATGGTGATTACTGGGATGATAATGGCGGTTCCCTTGAGGTTGGGAATGAGGCTGAGGATGCCCATTTGGATGCTGCTTCTGCTGTTGGTGCTGGAACGCTGCCATCTTTACCCCGTTTGTGTGTGCATGATGCTTGTCCTCCTCTTGGGCTGGAGCTTGACCTCCATTGCCGGTCTGCATGGAGTTCTTGATCTTCAACAGGTCTAGGGTTTCCACATATTTCTGAACTCTCCTCACCTTCGGTTCAGTCATTTATTCACAACAGAGAAAATGGATTAGGTCATGAATCACGATTCAGACAAAACTGCAAAATGTGTGCCGAGTTATTTTCAATTTAATTGCATCCAATTACCTGCATTTTTCTCTGCAATTTCACATCTCCATCAGCAATAATGCTATCCAACTTGAGCAACTGATTCATTAACAACTCAATCAAAGTCAACACCTCCGTTTCAGGTATCTTCCCTCCTCTAGAGATCACTGATTCCATGGCCGAAACCTAAACCAAGTTCAACCCAAACACATCAATCCACTGATTTGTTCTTTCTTTTCTTTTCTGCACTAATTCAAATAGCAATAGTAAATTGAACTGTTTCGGTTCATTACCCGGCCAGCGAACCTATCGACTTGCAAGCTGATTTCGGATATGGACTTCGACGCCTTCTCCATTTTCGCATTCCGTCGCATCTCGAGAAGCCGCTTCTCCTGACTGATCGGGTCCTCGATGAGCACCATCTTCGACCGGTCCTTGACACCGACGATGTCGAGGAATGCGTTGGAGTCCCTCTCTTTGTCTTTGAATAGCAGTTTCTGATCTTGATGGTGTAGTCCTGTTGGCCCGGTCAACATTTTCTTCAACTCCCCTGCAGTTAAAAACGCATACAATGAATTCATTCATTCGCTCGCTCGCTCATACACTCCCTCATTCATTCTATCCATCAAATTCGAAGAATCGAAATTAAACAGAGTCATTTAAGCGACTCCAAGATTGACTCCAAACAAAGGAATTGTTACCGTCTACACGTAGAAGTAAATCAAGAATGTGGAAAGTTCAATTGAACACTTACCAAATGTGGCCTGTGAGTTAATGCTGATCTCGTGGTACGTTGACCCATGCTTAACCCTAACTCGGATCGTCGGTGGCGGCGGTGCCGAGCTACGATCCGAGCCCGCGTCCCGCTTCTGGACCAGCATTCCTCCGGGTCTCACCTCCCACTCCTCCCCTGACTCCCCAACTCTGCTCGCATTACCGCCCGCGGAGCTCCCATTCATGGTCGACAGCCCTATCGTTTTAGCCTGTCCTCTCATCATCTTTCTCCACTCCCCAACTCGAAAACCTCCAAGCAAAAAGACCTTGAATTGGAACAGGGGCTCAGATCTCAAGCTCTGATATTCGACGACCCAAGTCAAAATTTGCAGAGACCCATCTGTTGGTACGCTCTGCTTTGCTAAACTCCAGCATCAAGCGAGTCTAATATCGCGAGGAGGAAAAGAATTGGGCAGGAAAGAGAGAGAGAGAGAGAAAGAAAAAGATTCCTTTCCGAGACGAAGCTTCAAACTTTTCCTTTTTCTCTTTGCAGAGCCAATGGCGTTCCACCCAGAAAAAGAATCGGTGCCCAGAAAGTCTATCTCCCTCGAGAATACTACGGAGAGGCCAGAAGGGACCGAGCGCTTACCAGAGCTTGACCCGCGGAGCCGAAACTCCGGATCTCAGTTCAAGTCAACAGGGGAGAGCAGCAACAGAGAGCCCTGAAAATTTTCCGGGAAAAACAGTTCAGAGCCAGAGAGCAGCAAGTGACGATTCTATCCCTCGCCTTCCCCCCACCGGAAAACTATTCGGGAAAGCCGATGCCGAACCCAAATGACGGAGAAACCGAATCTCCCTCCATAATATTCCCTCCCTGTCTCTCTCTGTGGTCTGGAAAACTCGAGGAAGAAGAGAGAGAGAGAGAGAGAGAGAGAGAGGGAGAGAGAATGGCACAACGAAAATTCTAAGGGGGGGGGGGCAAGAAACGAGTGGACAGCTAACGAGGGGCTTTTGTTACGACTAGAGCTCTGATATTTGTCTATATAAACCAACCTGTCCTGCAATTATGTACTAATTACATGTTCTCTAATATCCACATCTCCATTTTATATTGACATAAAGAAGGAAAGAGAGGGAGGAAAAAAAAGGGTAAACCAAACAGCACAGAAGCCGCCAAAAGCCTCTGTTTAGTCGTCGATTACTTCCGTCCTTCCCTCCCTCCTTTTGCCATCTTCCAATGTAAAAAGTTGGAAAAACGAAAGCCAAAGACCAAGACGCACGAAAGCAGAAACTACTCGCTTGGGGGGTGGTGGTGGTGGGGTTATCTTGGCGGTTATTATTATCATTATTTACCTCAGCAAAGCGCGCAGCTGCAAGAGAAGGAGAGATCGCGTTCGGCTGGTTCGGGACCTAGCGGGGAGCAGGAGCTTGACCCGGCTCCTCCACGACGACGACCGACACGTGTGGGGTCGGAGGGCAGCTCTTGGGAGATCGAGGGACGAACCAAATCATTGCCCGCTCGAAGGGTCCTCTTCGGTTTCTTGCGGAGGTTTCTTGGGGGGGTTCATTTCATAGGGAAGATGATGTGCGCTGTGGCTTAAAGATGATGTTTTTTCTTATTTTTTTGGCCTTTCTTTACAGTTAGTTGGAGAGCCAAGCATCACTCACCAAATAGGCCTTTTGGAAGCTTGTAACCCACCAAAGCAGAGACATTCCTAACCGGTGACGGTTCTTTGTCCTTCACTAACCTCCTCTCTCTCTCTCTCTCTCTCTCTCGACCAAACACTAGGATCAACGACATGATCGGCTTTCGAATTGTGCGATGTTTCATACCCCGCCTAGCAAGATTCAGAAAGGTCTAGCATGGACCTGCGATCGCAAAGTTAGCTGCTCGAAATGGGCGCTCGTTCTCTTTTTAACTATGCCGCTGACTGGCTGGCCAGCATAATCTTTTGACATGCACTAACCTCCTCTTCCTCTCTCTCTGCCAAAAAGCCGGCCAAGAAAAGAACGACCATAAATGCAAATATACCCTTCTCTAGTCTTTCGGAGAATGATGGAGGATTGGGTGAGTCAAGTTTGATCAACGACACGATCAGCTTTCGAATCGCGCGACGAGTCTCATGCCCTGTCTAGCAAGATTTCGAAAAGGGTCTGGCACGGATTCGCAATTGCAGAGCAGGCAGCCCGAAACGGGCGCTCGTTCTCTTTCTAACTATGTCACCGGCTGGTATAATCTTTTGGCATGCACCGCAGATCATTTGCTCAACGGCTGAATTTCCGGTCGGTGTATCTTCCTATTACGACTAGATATGGTTATCTATGTTGGATTTGGACACGAAGAGGAGAAGAATTGCACGAATTGGTGCTTTCCAAGGAAATGGTGGCGCCAACGAACATTTGGAGTCGGGACGGAATGGGAAAAGCTCCTTTGGAATTGCGAGGGGCCATTGAAAAATGGTTGGATCAATCATCAATCGGGCAAAAATTGCCCAAATTGGACTAGCTCCAAAACAAAGAATTAATCATCGGTACCCTCCATATCCTAACAAAAATACAAAAATACAAAAATAGCCATCGCTTACCATTCCCTTTTTTCAATTGCCGAAAACATTTCTCGATTCACTTTCTCTTTTTGGGTTTGTTCTTTTGTCTTTTTTGGGGGGTCTTTTGCCGCCCGAAATTGGAGCTTCAATTGGTGTGACTTAGTTTGGTTGCGAGTTTTTTTCAGTGTTTAGTGGTTTTTATTTCCTTTCTTGAACAAAAACAAAAGAAAGTAAATTAGTCAGAGCGATGAGACCTTTTTGGCTTCCATCTTTCTGGAAAAATAGAGAATTTTACAAAAATTGGGTCCATGACAAAAGAAGACATATTTCCCTTGATCATGTCATACATCCAATTCTAAGGGAAAATTAAGTGGCCGGAATTATCAAAATTAAGAGAGTTATTCAAAAACCATTATCTTAAATTGAAGAATTAAGTTTTTTTATCGGAGAATTATTTTTCTTTTGCCCCAGAAAAGAACGCTAATATCCGCTTAAAATCTACCTAAATTTGTGCCGAAAGCCAATTTTTTTTTTTTGGTCGAAAGCCAAATTGATTAGGGCCAAGTTTTGACAATTCTCGGAAAAAAAAACAAAAAATAAATAGGGCGAAGGACCACGTCAAGGTGTCCTTTATTTATTTTTATTTATTTATTTTGGTCTAATAAGGTGTCCTTTGAAAGCTAAGTAAAATAACGATTCGATGACGTCACACTTGCATTTTCCACGTGGCGAACATCGACCTCTGGATCTTTCCCCGACGTCTTCCACAAAAAAAAAAAGAGAAAAAAAGAAAAGAAAGAAAAGGGGGCCCCTTCGGACCATTATTAACATTTGCCACCACCGACACTCCTCGTACGTGCGACCGGCACGCTCGGGGACGTGGCGCCTTCCCCGCCGTACAGCGGTGGGGGGGCCGTCGCACGTGGGAAGCCGAGGTGGCGGTCGCGATTCCCTGCGGACGTAAAGCTCGACGGGGGACGGTGCAACCCACCCCCGGGAAAAAAAAAAAGCAATAAAGTATTCGAAAAGCATGGATGTCTTCTCACGAACATTGGTTTTTTAATTCTCCATCATTAATTTCATTTTCTTGGGTTACGTTATATTTTAGGGATAACGACACAAATAGTCTCTTAATATCGTTCCTGAATTTTTAATTTGTTTAATGTAATTCATGTAATATTTAATGTGATCCTTGAAATGTTAATTAATTCAGTTTTAGTATCCGGCCTCTAAAATTTTAATTTGTTCGATGTCGTCCGTGAATGGCATCGAACGGATTAGAATACCACAACTTTCAGGGACGACATTGAACAAATTAAAATTCCAGAGGTCGCATTGCATATTGAATTAGAGTTCATGGACCATAGTTCAGAGGCTGTTCGTGTCAATTTTTTTTCTATAGTTTAAGCAAAAAAGATATAAAAATCGATTAAAATAAAAAGGAAGAATTTCCGATTTCGATTGGCTTTTTAGGGTTTGTTTTTGTTTTTTTTTTTTTTTTGAAGAGTTGGTTGGGAGGGCATATTTTGAAGAAGGGACAAGCGACCGACCAGTCAGTGGGACATAGGAAAAGATGAGAAGAAATCGTGTGTGTTTTATGGTCAAAATTATGGGGACAAAAAGATATTGAAATTGCCCCCCTTTTCTCCTCTTTTGTCCCATCCGATGTTCGTATGCTAATAATTCTTGAAAAACGTAGGAGTTTCCATGAAGCTGCGGGCATCGTTAATCCAAGGTTATACATAACTTGCACTTACATCGATTCGTGGAATTGAAACGAAACTTTTCTAACCATATATAATGTGTTTCCGTCCGGCTGCTCCCGGCTTCTGAGAAATCACTCGTGATTTCGTGTCGAGGCCGTAGCAAACAGCTCTAGAATTTTTGTCGGGCGTGATTTTCAGGCGGCACAAATTTGATCTCAAAGAGACAAACAGCTCGATCGTGCAATCGAGCTCGAGTTCCGCGGCCATGGCAGGCCGTGACACTCCGGATCGGTGTTCCGGCCGAGAGCTCAAAACTCGGGCGACCACGGCCAGATGAGATCGAGGATGTGAACTAGAAGAAGTGATTGAGCTTGTTTAGGGGTCAACTAGAGGTTTGGAAGTTGAAGATGTCTAGGAGGAGTGAAGAGGAGATTTCGAGTTTCTACATATGGTGCAAGAGAGAGAGAGAGAGAGCAAATTGGAAATTAAAAAAGAAATCCACATGCTCCATGTTGCCCTTTTTCTAATAAAATAAGTTCCACATTAGCAATATTTATATCCCGTCAAGGCCCCCATCAATCATTTTTAGCAAGGACGATCGATAGCACTTTTTAAAAAGTAAAAAAAAAAATTCAAGTTTAAAACAAAAAAGAAAAGAAGTAAAAAGTGACTATTTTTGAACTTCGAGCTTGGATTATTCGTGACATCATCCCCTGAGTTACGATATGTTTTTGAAATCTAGGAAGGGTGTGGCCTCTCTTCTAAGCACGCATTGTGATTTTGCAGCCTCCACTTTCTAATGCTCGGTTGGGTTTAAATTTGAGAAAGTTATCGAAAAAGTCCTAAACATATTACGTTTTTGCCAATTAAGTCTATCCGTCCAATTTTAGCCAGAAATCGCTGGCATAAATGTCAGCCGTCCTACGTGGCACGGTCGGCGCTGATGCGGATAATTTTTTAAATATTTTAAATATTTTTCCTTTTTTTTCTTTTCTTCTCTTTCCCTTCTTTTTTTTTTATAGTGGTCGGCAAGGGTAAAAAAAATATTAAAATATAATTAAGATTGTTCACCTCAGTGCCGGCCGTGCCACGTAAGATGTTCAGTGTCCACGTTTGCAATTTCCTGTCAAAATTGGCTAGACGGACTCAATTGACAAAACGTGAAAAAGTTTAGGATAATTCAAATGTTTAAAACTAACTTAATAAAAGTACGATAAGTTTATGACTTTTTTTGGTAATTTTCTCGTTTAAATTTTGTGTCCGAAAAGTTTGATTGAGTGGAGGATAAATTATGTTTTTTCTCTTGTGGCCCCAATAAATACGTAGATGGAAATGCAAACGTGCGAGTTCAAAACTAAGAAATCCCACAAGGGACCTCCACTCAAACACTGATTGATAACGATATCATCAAACAAAATAACATCCGGGACAGAGACGTAATTACCAAAAAAAAAAAAATCTTAAATCTATTGCATGAATTCCAATTCAATCCTAAGCCTTTCAATTCAAATAATTTAATCATAAATCTTTTCAATAATTTGCCAATATACTTATTCCAGTGAATTTTAACTGGAAATTATTGACGTGAATGTCAGCCGTACTACGTGGTATGACCGGCACTGATATGAACAATTTTTGTAATTTTTTGGTTTAGAATGATATAAATAAGGTTATACTGGGGGTGGGGGGGTTGGATACGGTACGGTGGTTTTAGTAACGATAAGAAAAGTACGGTTCTAGTTCTAGCAAGCAAGTAAGCCAATTAGTGCTGCCTTTCTGTTCCTAAAAGTCGTTCGATCCCACCTGATAAAGGCATAGACGATACGTTCTGCCCTTTTCACGAAGAAAAGTTTATCATGACTCATTTCATTCCCTCGCCTTCGCTCCTGGCTCACAATGGAAATTTGCCCAATAGCTACGAGACGGGAGCTCTATACGAATTGAAAGGTTGACCTATTCGGGAATCTCCGGATCTACGATTATTTTCAACTCCCCCGCTTGCCATCCACACTAGAATAAATGGAGTTTTCCCAAAAAACCTGCTAGCGGAGGAAGACCTCTTAGGGATAACAGACATAGGGTTAAAGAGAGAGCCAAAAAAGGATCTTTCGTGTATAATCCTGCAAAATCTTGAATGTTATCATTTCCGGTACGTAGACCAAATAATACAATGCAAGCAAAAGTTCCTAGATTCATGGAGATATAGAACAACATATAAATTATCATGCTCGCATATCCACCTACTCTCGTCGTAGTTTGGCGACCTAAGGGGCAGACATTGATTGTTATCTAAAGGAATAGGATATTCTAGATTTATGACTTCTCTCAAATATCAAACAAGAGAAAGAAACAAACATCAAATTATTCATAGATCTTTACGATATGTTCCCTATGGTAACTGGGTTCATGAATTACGGTCGACAAACAGTACGAGCTATCCACCATTTGAGTCTCCAACAATTATTCCAATAATTACATATCCAATTTGACCTATGGACGAATATGCAAGCATACGTTTCATGCTTGTTTGAGTAATAGCAAAATTTCGATTTAATAGCAAACAATGGTTATTTCAAACACCGTCTATTGTCCCACCAACAAAGACCAAGGGCTTCTTCTCTGTGCTCTGATTCACTTGCTAATACCGAACTCTCCTTTCCTAAGGCTTATGAAAGAAAGAAGAGTAAGTGAACTGACTAGTAGCGAGAAAATCTTTCGAAATCAAAATTATATCTTGGTAGCCTTCTTTATTTGCTTTTAATTTCTTTTTTATTGTGGCCCACGAGTGATTTCTAGTATTACCTCAGCGTCAGTAATCTTCGATCAAAATTAGCCGAAAGAATTATATTGACAACTCGTTAAGAAGGTTCATGACTTAATTGGCTATATTGAAAAGTTTACAACTTCTTTAGTTAATGTCCCCCCGGAACGGAAGATGGCACATCTGAATCAAAGTGATTCATCACAACGACGCAATTAGACCAGCAAGTTCACAAATACCTTTCCTCCGAATTGATCAATGAGCGAACGCGATTTATATAAGCGAGGAAATTCAGTAGCCATGGAAAACGAGGCTTTTGGGTTAGAAACGGGGGGGAGTCCCATCCCATCAAAGGAACCGACGATGGAGGAAAGCCGAACCGACACCATTAAAGCTCGCGCATACTGACGTAGTCAGTAAGAAGGAGAAAAGCTCCAGTTGCTTGATGCGACGTGGATGGACCACCAAATGTGCGGATGGTTGCTGCCCAACTTCTTCCAATGTGTTGAAGCTTCTCCGCTGGGCTGCTCTCTCTGACAATGCTTTCGTCTGCAGAAAATTTCTAGTCCCTTGCTGCGTACACGTTGCGTTCCTCAGCTTTTCAATCATATCCACCACCCGATATGGGAGCTCCAAGCTTCCTTCCTACCTTCCCTTGTTTCGGCTCGATTGATTCGTTTATATCCATCAAAGATCACCGGTTCACATGCTAATTCAATTATAAATCTTTAAATTATAACTAATTTTGAGAACACAAGAAGTTTGAATTGAGGGATGTAAATGGGTCCTCCAGCCTCTAGGAGTAAATGGCTCTCTCTTTTTTTTGGCATTTCGGGTTCTATAACGCAATGCCGTACGTCCCTAAAAAAAGGCAGCGGACTTGTATAAAGAACGAGACTGATGGTTGTGGTTATCTTTAGAGGATTGAGATATTTGCTCCTAAAAGACCTAGCTACGGTTTTTCTGGCCTGATTTTTATTGGAAATTTGGAATAAGTAGAGTCGGTTTGGCACCACGAAGGTTATTTAGGTGAACACGGCAACAATTTCACATAAAAACACTGTGTTTCAATTGATAATTCATGTGTGTGTGTGTGTGTGTGTAGGGTTCATTGTCATCCATAATTGAATGGATTCGGAAAATTGCAGGGAAAAAATGGTCATTTTCATTCCCACGTAGCCAAAGGCAACAGCTGGGTCTCTACATAATGATCACTCCTCTGGATCGTAGCATTAGCCTCTAGGACAGGAACAACAGATAGATACAATTTGCCTGCCCAACTCAGGTTCTCTCTTTCGAAAGTCAAATCCCGCTCCCCCACTCTTTTAAATCTCTCTCAATCAAAGAGCTAGCACCCTCACACAGCTCATCCTGGACAACATTAGAAAGAAACTTGTCATGAATCACTCGTTCTTTGACTAGGGACGATGTTGACCGCTTGTACACATTATCAATACCCCACCTAATCAAAACAAAGAATGATGTCCATGCACATGTAGAGCCATAACGGTACTCGGATTCTACCCATTTTCTGATTGCACCTGTCCCTCGCTCTCGTGCTTTCTCCGAGTTATTTTGCATCTTTGGAAATTGGGAACATGATGTCATGTTGAAGTGTCCAAGGTGTGCTCAAGAGAGAAAGAAGACAAAGGGGTCACAGGCATCTGCTCGAGGCTTTCCAATACATGTAGAGAAGGAGACCACAGTAAGAGTAAGAACTCCCGGTTCCAATGTGCTAGCATCAACGTAATACCATTGGGACATTCATAACCCAAGTTTTTTGTACATTTGTGCAATGTGGAAGCATCTTCACAGACATCACATGTGCAATTTTCTATCATTAGTTTATTCAGAATCAGAATAAACTATCAGCTGCTCTATAGTTCAGTAGGGTAATATTCACATGGGCACTTCTCTATTATTAGTATATTCAGAATCAGAATAAGCTATCAGCTGCTTAATAGTTCAGTTGGTACACATGATGCTCTTGCAGCAGTTGGCAATGTAACTATCCATCTAACGAAGCATAGGTATATACATACATCCATACTGGGCCATCTAACTGATTTGGATAACTAGAGGAAGTGATTGCATAAGTTACTCATAGAAAAGTCGCAACCAATCAAGACATTATGTAACTTATCACAAACAGAACTAGGATATCGTGGGCAATGTTCAGCATGAGCTCACATGAGAATTATGCCGAGAAACCTGAAATTGACAAGGCAAATACAGTTGACTCGAAACATTCACGGCACAGTTCCAACCTTCTTTTTTTCATAGAGAAATCAAGATATCGTAATATAGATCACTATAAGATCAATTTGCAAAGAAAGATGAATCTATAATCCCTCCCTCTGTTCTACATATGCACTTTTACGTGTATCAAAACAGGTGACAGCTGATAGGGACAGTCCCAATTGATTACTAGTGTCGATGAATGCATGGATTAAAGACGGCTTAACCGTCCCTACAACCCTTTGTCGAGGGCCTCGACTTGAGGCCGTCTAATTGGAAGACTCAAGGTCTTTGGGGATGGCTAGGAGCATGCATGTCCTCTTTGAAAGGTGTAGAGTCCCATCAAGCCTCTAAGTAGTCTCCCAGCAAATTTCTTCCTACTTATTTGTTCATTTCCTCCTCTATTTTACAGATTATACATCATTTATGTAAACACCCTTTTTTAATGATCAGATTATCAGTTTCATCTAAAACAAAGCCACAATAATTTGGCAACAAATTGAAAATCGATTGATTATATTAGATTGAAAATCAGAAGTCTTGGATCCACACTAACCAAATATCAGAACATAAAATTTCCACACCTCAGATATAACAAGCAAGATAGAAAATATAACATGTATTCTACACAATCATATGAAAAACAAAAGCTCAATATCTAATAGATCTTTGCCATGCTTTTGCAATTAACCACATCAAAAGGGATCACATACTCCTAGTATATCATCACCATCAGCACAAGATGGAAAAGATATTGACTATTTTCAATTTCACTGCAATACACTAATTTGTGAAGCCTAGAATAAACTTGACTATTATGAAGGAATCAAGGAGAAATCATTTTCTTACAGAAAGAACATGTCCAAACCAACCTCAAAATTTATACAGATCTACATGATGTATAATACTACTCTGTAATCAAAGACTCTGAAGAAGAGCCTAATAAGCTTTCTCACAAACTATTAGGAGTTATTTCGAGAACACAAAAAGTTCTACATTATAATTTCTACTTATTCCATGAGGTATGAGAGATATAATGGGTTTGCGACTTCTCTGATCCCACGGGAATGGCCTAATATGTATTGAATTGGAAGTAGACTCAGATTGGCACAATGAAGGTTACATATATGACCATGGCTACAATTTCACATAAAAGCACTATGCTTCAATTGATAATGCATGTGTGTGTAGGGTTCATTGTCATCCAAAATTGAATGGACCATGGAGATTGTAGGAAAAAAATGGTCCTTTTCATTCCCATGTAGCCAACAGCAACATCTGGGTCTCTACATAATGATCACTCCTTTGGATAGTAGCATTAGCCTTTAGGACAGGAACAAAAGATGATCCATTCTTGGACGAGGGACCGTGTTGATCGCTTGTAAACATTGTTAATGTCACAGCTAATCAAAACAGAGAATGATGTCCATGCACAAGTCGAACCATACCAATACTCGGGTTCTACCAATTTTCTGATTGTGGTTGTTGCCAGCTCTCGTGCTTTCTCCAAGTTATTTCACATTATCGGAACATGATGTCATGTTGAAATGTTCAAGGTGTGCTTAAGATAGATAGAAGACAAAGGGGTCACAGGCATCAACTTGAGGCTTTCCTTCTCTATATGTATTGACCACACAGAGTAAGAGCTCCTAGTTCCAATGCCAAGCAACAATGTTATACCATTGGCACATTTCATAACACAAGTTTCTTGTACATTTGTGCAATGTGGAAGTATCTTTGCAGACATCACATGTGCACTTCTGCATTGTTAGTATACTCAGAATCATAATAAACTATCAGCTGCTCTATAGTTTGGTAGGGATGTATGACATATATATGTACGTCCATACTGGGGCATCTAAATATTTTGGATAACTCAAGGAAGTGATTGCATATGTTACTCAGAGAAAAGTCACATCCAATTAAGACACCATGTCACTTATCACAAACAGAAAATTGGGATATCGTGGGCAATTTTCAACACAAGCTCACTTGAGAACAGTTACGCAGAGAAACCTGAAACTGACAAGGCTAATACAATTCACTCGAAATCGACACGGCATGCTTCCATCCTTCTGTTTTTTTAATAGAGAAACCAAAATATCATCATATAGACCACTATAAGAACAATTTCCGTAGAAAAATGAATCTACAATTCCTCCCTCTGTTCTACATATGCATTTTTATGGGTATCACTACCAAAAAGAAAATAGAGAACAGGTGACAGCTGAATCCATCCTTAAGGTATATTTTCCTGTAGGTAAACTCACAAGTGACGGCTCAAATCCCATTCTGGACTGTTGGCTGTACGTTAGCAGTTAAAAGTAATTCCTGACCACTAATAGGGACAGTCCCAATTGATTACTAGTGTCCATGAAAGCATGGATCAAAGACGACTCAACCGTCCCTAAAACCCTTTGTTGAGGGCCTTGACTTGAGCCCGTCAAATTAAAGACTCAAGGTCTCTGGGGACGACTGGGAGCATGCATGTTCTGTTTTAAGGGTGTAGAGACACGTCAAGCCTTTAAGTAGTCTCCCTGCAAATTTCTTCCGTTTTGTTTATTAATTTCCTCTTCTTTTTTTAAGATTAGATACATCATTTATGTAAACCCCATATTCTTTATCTGTCAAATTATCAATCTCATCTGCCATAATCATTTGGCAACACATTGAAAATCGACTATAGTTGATTGAAAATCCACAGCCCTGGATCTACACGAACCAAAAATCAGAACATGAAAATTTCCACCCAAGACAAAACATGATGAGAAAAAATGTAACCAGTATTCTATAAAATCATGTTAAAAAAATAACCTCAACCTCTAATAAACTCCGCCGTGCTTTTGCAATTAACTGCATCGAAAGAAATCACATGCTCCCTACGTATCATCACCCACCTGCACAAGATAGAAAAAAAATTGTGTCTATATTCAATTTCATTGCAATAGACTAATTTGTGAAGCATAGAAAAAAAAGTGACTATTATGAATGAACAAGGAGAAATCATTTTCTTACATGAAAGAATATGTGCAGACCAACCTCCAAATTAATACGATCTCCATAATGTATAATAGTGCTCTGTAATCAAAGACTTGAAAGACGAGCCTAATAAGCTTTCTTAACACCTATTTTCCACATGGGACCATCCTACACAACAGTGATTAAAACCTTCATCAGAATATATGATCAATCCCTTTGAAGAATGATGAATATACTCAAACTTACAGTAACAGATAGTTTTTGACAGATGCCAGAAAAAAAACAAATTCAACTCTCCCATAGTATCATCGGGCCAATGAAAGCTAACATCTTAGATCAAGCAATACAACCATAAAAAGACATGAATCAATGAAAGCTAACCATCTCAATATGAATCAGCAGCTTAATAAGGACAAGTACCTAATAATGTGCTCATATTGAAGAAGGCTAAAAAAGAAGGGTCAGCGACTTCACAAATGAGTCCAAGATATGCTCCCAAAAGCACATATATCTATCACATCTTTGTTACAAGGGTAAATAAATTAAACATAACAACTACCTAATAGTAACCACTACTCCAATCAACAAAAACAACATTAATCAGAAAGAGAATCAAGTCAAATCCAGTAACAACATCAACAACTCCTAAATTCCAAAAATCAACATTGAATGAAACGGATTCATCAAGTGAGACATTGATTGACTTGTTAAGAGATGAAGATTGAAGGCAAGCATGAGAGAGAGAGAGAGAGAGGGCTTAGGGTGAAGAGTTGCGATGCCAGGCATCTGCATTGTGATGAAGAAGTGGGAAAAGATTATAAGTAGCACTTCGTATTTGGTAGGTGAGTTATCATTGCTCAGGTAGCAGAGTGGAGTCAGTGGACAAAGAAGCGTATCTTTAAATTACATGTACTCATCAATAATCCTCAAATTGAGCAGACATCATCCGTTAAATACGAATGTCAAGAAAATAAACTCGTTTCATGGCACAAAAAAAATAAAATAAAAGAGAAACATGGCATACCATGTTCGACAGAATTTCATATGCAAAAATAACCAACTCCCCTTATAGGCTACTCCTACATTTTAGACTAACATCAGGCGTGTAGTTTAGATTTCAATGGCGAAGAACATTCAGCATTAATCTCCAGTGCCACAGCAAACTTATCTAATCCAGGAGAGCAGTGAGTGTGGCAATCATTTATTTATTCACTCTAGCTGACCCAGTCCACAGTTCCATCAACTTCTGCAGTAGCAGATTCATTTATCAAACTCAAAACAATATATCATGCCATGCGTGCCCTTATCCCATGCCGCATCCTATCTCGGTTGTGAGCATGTTTTCATTAACCGCGTGGATCTTATTTCCTGGTACTGTTAAGCATTCTGGTTCAACATAAACCTCATTTTTATCTTCTTTTTCCAGTTTATAATCATCTCCCAAAAATTTTGTGTCTCCATCGTAATCCAAATATCCAGGTGGTCAAGCTTCAGTCCCGAGAGTGGAGCTGCTGTCTTAGTCATTGCCTCGACAGAGGATCTATAAACCTGTCGGCATGAGCTACAAATAAGGTCTTAAACAAGAAAAGGGCATTATTAATGTTCTCTCAACAGCTCCCATGGTATTGAATTACGTTGAAATGAACACTAAAGAACATTACACAATATGACTTGGGAATGTCCATTTTGTATTTTCTACAGCAAAGGGACTTGTTTTGACCCTTTTTTGGTATTGCAGCAATGTAACTCCCCTCCATAATATTGAGCATTGTCTGAGAAGAGAGATTCTATTCAGGCACTTAAACTCACTTGCAGTCCACATCCGCGACAACTTCTCGTCATATGGCATCATAAGAAGAGTGTCCAGATAAGAGGGTTAAGCAGAACTTGGTGAATGAATATTCGGAAATAGCAAAGGACGAATATGATCATCATCAACAAATTAGCCTGCTGATTCAGTTCCAAGCATGAGAAAGACGGACAAATCCTTATTCACTTGCTCCCTTTCAGTTCAATCTAAAGAAGTCATGATAATTTAGTTGCCTATTCAATATAGTAGATATAAAAAGGACGTGACTTACACACAACTGAACAAAAGACGCACCAGAGCATCACTTTCTGTAAAAGTAACAAATCCAACCAAGCAATTCACCACTGTTTAATTATACATATGTTTTACCCATAAACTTGTTTGCAACAGCTTTTATCCAGGCTCTGTCTTTGTCACTATAAGCATAACTCATGCTTGAGACCAGGACGATGAACCCTTCATTTCTCCCCATCTCATATACCTCTTGATCTGAAGCTTGAAGCAGTGGCTGCACCAAGAGTGAGCGTGTCCCATTTGGTAACAATTCTCGAAATCCAAAATCTGCAGTTTTGATGAAAACTTCAGCTATTGAAAAACTACAGTAAAGAGATTTATTTTTCTCTTTCCCCAGAACAATTGAACCACGCATGCTTACTTCTAAGATTGAAAAAAGAACTATTTCACTGTATTAGTGTCTGAAATATATTCTAAGTGCTTGCATGCTCTTAGCTTCTTCCACATACTAAGTGGAACAAACATCAATTTTTACTAAGGTTTCGTTTTTATATGCAGATGTTCATACAAAGGACTGCTTGATTGATCAAGCATTTGCCCTTGAAGAGACAATGCGATACGATATTGAAGGACCTGCCAATAGATTTTCTCACACCTGGACTCTGAGTGAAATAGAGTGTATCCTTCAAATCAGAGAGGCCAATTTTCTGTATCTGTTCCTCAAACCAATCAAGGACACGAGCTTTAGACACATCATCCGGTGTTCTCCAATAGCCACGTATACATAGCTCACCTTTAACTGATATTAACTGTGGCAAGACAAAAGGATAAAACGTGTGAAATTTGTAACTTCCATAAGGAAAGTAATAAGCAAGCATTTATTGAGGTTTCTCACGCTGGCTGTGTGATAAATAACCATGGAGATCACTTTAGCTCTTAGTAACCACGTACCGCAGCAATAGTATTTGTATTGCGCAATAGAACATATGTTGCCCAAGCCAAGTTCTCCTTCAACGTATCAGACAGACTTTCTGACATGACGAAGAGCTGCTCATTGCCTTCAGGCAACGTTACTTGATTCACTGGACCAGCACCCTGAAAAATCATTACTATCACTCTCAGAAAATATAATCATTAGCCTAGACAAAATACAGTACCCACATCAAGAAGATAATCCAGGAGAAAACAGGTGTGCAATGTCCAAAGGTTAAACATATATTGCAAACGCCAAGCACCCATGAACCTCGCGAAAACCAACCAATGGCCTCATGAAGGGGAAAATGCAAAGGAACCACCACTTTGCGCCACAAATTAGCTCGCTTGAATAGCATCTCGATTCAGCCAATAACACCAACTACACTTAACATACATCAATAATTAAAAACAGCAAAAGAATTTACCCGTAGAAATTTTCCAAGATAAGGGAGTATAATGGAGAATGCAGCCAAAGAAAGACCCAGAACCTCTGTCCTCTGAAAAGAGATACAAAAAAAAAAAAGCTCAAATTCCAGATTAATCCACCGAATCTGTGCGATCAAAGTAATTACAGCCTCAGAAAAGATTGTAACCAGCTGAGCAGGGGTTATATTGGCGAGATCTGACCCCACGAAGTGATTCAGCAGCAAGAGCGAACCAAACCCATACCCTATCCATCTGGGCAAGTACGACTCGTCGAAACCAGGTATGCCTACAACAACATCCATCGAAAACACCTCCTAAGATTCGAATATTGTGCTTCTATGCATCATGGGTATTACCCAAAAGTGATGGCATATTCAATTCACGGAGAGAGAGAGAGAGAGAGAGAGAGAAGAGAGTTAGTGATGTTACCGAAAGTGAAGCGAAGGACCGAGAGGTTGAGCTGTCGCTCGTCGCCGGTAGTTTCGGGGTCGCCGCCGAGACGAGCAGAAATTCGTGACCGTTTCGTATTTCTTTTGGCGCGAAATGGAGGAGGTAAATGTGGGTGAATCAAGGCGTTCAAAGTGAAGATGGCGCTCATTCCTCTCCCTTGTTGCTTTCGCAGCGTGCGTTTCCAAGAAAGATGGCTTCTGCCGCTTCCTGTTTTGTGCCAATGCATCTGGCATAAGACATCTTCAAGTTTAAACGAAAAGCACGCCGTTGAGGTCATTTCAATAGCTCCCCTGCTCTTTCTTGCAGACTAACCGAAAGGGTCCTCGTTCCCGTGACTTGGAACGATACCCAATTTGCAAAACTGGAAAAGCCAATCGAAGGCGAGAGACAGAGAGAGAGAGAGGAATCGAGAGTCATCCCTTCACTCACCGTCCTCAACAGCCGAGGATGACCTCGTCCTCTTCGTCGACATCCACCGACACCGGTTCGACGGTTGTAGGACCTGGGACAGGCTCGGCCCGCGAGCCCCGCTTCCCGGCGCGCGACGTGAATGCCCTGTTCGGAGCAGAAGCAGATGGGCATGCCCGAAAAGAAGATCAGCAGCCATGGTTTGGCTACGGCGGAGAAGACAGGAGGAAGCTAAGCGGACACCGGGTCTGGGTCTAAGGCTTTCAATTCGAGAAGACAGGCGGGGGGCAAGAAAGAAACAGCACACGACTCCGGTCCTGAAAGGGTTGACGGCTCTGTTCTTACCATGTAAAGAAACATGCTCGACTCGAAACAAGAACAGCAATGCTGACGCTGCCGAGGCCACTTCAATTCCAATCCTTCACCGATGCATGGCTTCTCCGAAGACACGACAGGTCCTACGCTCGCTCCAGCCGTCGTAGCAACTCCCCTGCATTCCCAGAACTCGCCAGCCACGGCTACAATCCTTCGGCCCACCGATGGGACGGAGCTTAGAACTCTCGCCGTTGCGGTGACATTCCCTCCCGGTGGCAACACTTCGGCCCGACCCATCAATCCTTCCGGAGCATGAAGGGCAAGTCCCACCACCACCCCTTTGGCGATCCGATCCAAGAGCATTGCCGGGGGAAGGCCCGTGAGATTAGAGAAGCTCAAGCCCATTGCGGAAACAACGAAGAAGCCCTTGTCATACTAGAAAATGGTTAATACCGCGAAAAATCTAAAACCGATACATTCGTGGTAAATTTACCACAAACTAATTTTTTGACCACCAAAAATTCAAAACCGGTATACTTATTGACAAATTTACTGAAAAACCTCATACGGGTACATTTGTGATAAATTTACCCTTCGTTAGTTTTCCGTCAAATTGGATTAATACCTCAAAAAACCTACAAACCGGTACACCCGTGAGAAACGGAGGATAAAATCCTAAACTGGTATACCCGTCAATTGCAGCGTGTTATCCAACTTAGCAATTTGACAGTAAAATGAGTAAAATTGTTATAAATGTACCGATTTTGAGTTATTGATGATTAAAAAAATTAAAGGAAAAATTACAAATATACCCTCACCCTCGCCCGCCAAGCCCAGGCGAGGCGACCCTCGCCCGACGCCGGCGAGGGCGACCCTCACTCGAAGCCGGCAAGGGCGGCTCTCGCTTGAGGCCGTCATTGGCCAGGCGCAGCGACCGTCAGGAAAGAAGAAAAAAGGGAAAAGAAAAAAGAAAAAGGAAAGAGGAAAGGAAAAGAAAAAGAAAAAGAAAAAGAAAGTGAAAAAAAATAAAAAAAATATATATATACTTATAATTTTTTTTGACGAAAATACTCCTTCTCCGGCGACGGAATAGTTACCGGCCGGCCAGAGGTCCTTATTTGAGATGATTTGGCTAGTTCAGACCCTTATTTAAAACGATTTGACCAATTCAAGTCCTTATTTAAGACGATTTGATAATTTCAGGCTCTCATTTAAGAAAGTGACTCCACTTAGGATCCATTTTTAGAATTTGTCCAAAATTAAATTGGGGTACATCTATCGCAGACATGCCGATTTAGTAATTTTTCTTTTGTATTAATCCTAAAAACAAAAGGAGAAAGAAAACCAAAAACAGAGCACGGAACACACCGAACACCGACCTGCCCTGCCCTGCCCGGCCCGATTGTCATGCCAGCAACGAGTCGGCCACACGTGGGGGGCGCTTTGCACGTGCGGATCGCACGTGCCAATCGAAAGTCTCCCTTCTCAATTCAATTCAATGCCCCCTGCCCTGCGCTCCCATCCCTTCTGTAGGCAATCATTGCACCTCCCATTAACTCCATTTATCCCCAAAAAAAATAATTAAAATATAAATAAATAAATAAATCACATCACATCACTTTATTTTATTCGCCTTTAATAACGCGTTCGTTACGCAAAAAAATAACTTACTTCTTATATAAAAAACATTTGACTCGAATACGAATACCATTTTTTAGGAAAAAGCCATTGGTTTTCTCTTTATTTCGTGATTAACTCGAATTTGAGTTTGGAAATGGTTTCAAATATATATAATTATTTGATTTTCTTTGGTAAATGAGGGATGGTGAAATTTGCGTAGCTAAAAAGTAGCTAGGGTTTGGCATTTTAACTAACATCTTTTCTCGCTCGATTTGGCTTCACGTTACGTAAATTTAAGAACTCGAATCTGTACAATATTTTTCTCTAAACACCAAAAAAAGAAAAAGAGAAAGAGAAAAACCTTCTAATCGGCAAGAAAAACTCTGATAAATTAAAAAGAAATAAAAAATCGGTGCCTTCTTGTTGCTTGAAATTTCATTCGTTGCGAATGGATTTTTGTCGGTTATCCATACTTGGTAACCGAATATATGAAAATATGGAAAACGAATTTCAAGGAAATCCACCCTAGATCTAAGATGAACATTACACGATAATTTTATCAACTTTTATGTGCAATCTCGCTGCTACCATGAAAAAAATGTGCAATTCGTTTGATTTGTAATTACACCTTTCGAGTTGTGTTGACGAGTGCTTGAATGCTACTCGTTTTCTTAATCAAAAGTACTTTGACTATTAACGTACTTATTAAGCACATCAGAAAGGTAATATCTTATAAAATTACAGCGTATTTTTATTTCATCACTTTAATCGGTACCTAAACTTTTCTAATGCTGGGTAATCAACGATGCACATAAGAAATTTTCCCGGGGCTACAATTTTGTCACTGATCAGAGTAAATTCAACTATTAAGTGTATGAGTACTTATTTTACGATAAGATGCATTTCATTGACCCTTAAAAACGGGGAGCTGTGCTTGTATAGGTTCCGCGCAAAGCGAATTCGACTTTTCGCATAAATTCAAAACAAATTCATATATTTTAACGTGCAATTTGGATATCGACTCTCGTATGGTTTAGGTACCACTTCATCGCCGTAAAAACAGCAAGGCTATATTTTTAGGCCAAGAGAAAAGAAAAAGAGGACAAAATATTCATATTTTTTTTTTGCTGTCGAATTTTGACCGACTTAAGACTACCAAAAGAATTTCGACCCAAAAAAGAAACTACCAAAAGAAAGAAAAGAAAAAAAAAGAGACTACCCAAAGAAGCAAAAAAAAAAAGGAAAGGAAACGGGTCAATTTCCTTAATATTAAACTACTGCCTGAAAAATTGCACGACTAGAGGAACTGAGCGCGGCCGCAGGGGATTCCCGCCCCTCCCCCCCGGCCCCGCGGAAGGCCTACCGGCTACGCCGGTAGCCAAAAGCCAAACCCCCCCCCCCCCCCACCACCCCCCAACCCCTCCTCGCGGTCCACATTAGGCGACTCCCCGGATCGCACCAACCGGATCCCGACACGTCTCCCCCGTCGCCGCCCCCGCCGCCGCCGCCGCCGCGAGGTCCCAGCCGCCGACCGCGCCCTCCCCGGCCCGACCGATCGGGGAGACGCGTGTCCCGCCGGCCGCCCCCCAACCCAACCCACCCGCTGCAGCCGGTGGAGCGGCGCCGTGGGGCGAGCGGGTCGCGGCCGGTCGCCCCTCCCTTTCCAAATCCCCCACCGCTGGGCGTATATAAATGCGGCTCTTTTAATCTTTTCCCATTTTTTTTTTCCCCTTCCTTTCCTTCCTTCCTTCCTTCGCCTTCCGCTTTCGATTCTTGGGGCAGCTAATCCTCCCAGATTGCGCGAAAACTCTCCCCCTCCTTTTCTTCCTTGTCGATCGAAGTCGGAGGTCTTCTTCCCCCACCGTCGTTTCGCGATCTCTGGGTCAGTATCTGCGTATCTTGTTGTTGTTGTTGTTGTTGTTGTTGTGATGTGGTTTTGATTTGTCGCGCGGGTGATTTCCAGTGACGGGGTAGTGTTTTCAGTGCACAGTTGGTGGATTGTTTGAGCGTCCGATGGTCGCGATTCGGGTTACTGTTTTGTGGTTTTTCGATCGGGTTTGTTTCTGGGTTGTTGTCATTGCGCTCTGGCGATCTCTTCTGGGTCGGCAGCAAAATCTTCTTTTTTTGTTTTTTTTTTGTTTTGCCTCTTCTCGATTCGAATTGGTTTCAATTTGCGGGTAGCTAGGGTGCAATTGCTTTTGGGTGGGGGAGGGGTGTTGAGTTCGTTTGGAAATTTGGGCCTTTTGGGTCATGGGTTGTGGTTGCTGTGACTGAGCTGAGCAGCTCGTGACTAGGGTTTGGTCGGCGTGATCGTGGGTGGGGAAGGTTTTCTGTCCGAGCGTTTGTTGGGGGAGTGCTCCGAGTTTGATGAGGTGCTTTGGGTTTTGTTTCCGAATTGCTTAATTAGCCATGGTTCTCGAGTAGGTTTCTTGCTTTATTTTCGCCGGACTCTTTGCTGCTGCTGCTGCTGCTGCTGCTGTTTAGTTCCCTTAGAATATTCGCATAGAGCACCCGGAAACTGGTTATGTTGTGCAACACTAAACACTTTTTGGTCTTGTAATGACCTTCTGTAAATTCGATTCTCCCCTTTCACTCACTGGAGACATTTTCAATACAGAACTGCCGGCAGTTTTTGCTTTCCAGGTTGGTCTCTGCATCATTTGCATCCCATGTTGTGCTTGTGATCTGCTGGTTGAAGCCTGTTATTCAGGTGGATTGAGGAAGTTTGAGTGAATGTATCTTGATACAGAGGATAGATAATCAGGCCTGGCTCTGGATAGCTACTTAGACTCCGTTCACCAAGGGGCTGCACCCCCTATGGTCCCATCACGTGCAACTGGAGGCTTGACCCAGTCTTCCTCGAGTTCAGGAATCTATTACCAGGGGGATGGACAGTCCCATACTGTAGTTAATTCTCACTTGAGCTCTTCATTCGGTAACTCCTCTAATTCGGTACCTGGAACTGGGCGCCCTAGTCTAGGAACGGTTTCAGGGGACATGAACAATGTAGTTTTGAATAGCGTGGCAAACTCAGGACCAAGTGTTGGGGCGAGCTCTTTGGTTACGGATGCTAATTCTGCACTCTCAGGAGGGCCACATTTGCAGAGAAGTGCAAGTATCAATACGGATTCTTATATGCGTTTGCCAGCATCACCAATGTCTTTTTCTTCGAATAACATCAGTATGTCGGCTTCATCAGTTATGGATGCATCCTCTGTAGCTCAGCAGAACTCTCATCAAGAACAGACACCCCCAGTTCAACAGAATCAACAACAGCAACAAGGGGCTTCTACTGCTACGTCATTACCTGCATCACAAACTGGGCAAGTGTTGCTGCCCATGGGTGCAAGAATGCCTGGCTCTTTCATGCAGGACCCGAATAACCTATCTCAGGTGCAGAAGAAACCACGGGTGGACATTAAGCAAGAAGACATAATCCAGCAGCATGTCTTACAGCAACTGTTGCAGAGACAGGATGCCATGCAGTTACAAGGGCGTAATCCTCAGTTGCAAGCATTACTGCTGCAGCAAAGACGACAACAACAGCAACAATTTCTTCAATCAATGCCACATATGCAGAGGGCCCATTTGCAGCAGCAACAGCAGCAGCAGCAGCAGCAACTTCAGTTGAGGCAGCAGCTGCAGCAACAGGGCATTCAATCAATCAATGCCTTTAAGCGCCCCTATGATAGCGGTGTATGTGCTCGTCGGTTGATGCAATATCTTTATCATCAGCGACAACAGACTCCGGTGAGTTGGAAGTCTAGACTGAATGCCTCTCCTGAACTCTTTAGATTTTATCAGTTGAATTGTTTCTTGAGCCAATCTCTGTTTTACTTTTTACAGGTAAATGCTATTGCCTATTGGAGGAAGTTTGTGGCAGAATATTATTCACCTCGAGCAAAGAAAAGGTGGTGCTTGTCATTATACGACAATGTTGGACAACATGCACTTGGTGTTTTTCCTCAGGCCGCTATGGTTGGTTCTATTATGCCATTATGTTTACTCCACCTTTGCATTGAACAGAAGCTCCAAAGTGTTCTGGATGGACTGATCATCAGTTTGGTCTACCAATTTTTATGTAGGCTGATCGTCTTTTTTTTCTGTGTATCCTTTCTTTGTCAGGATGCATGGCACTGCGACATTTGTGGTTCCAAGTCTGGAAGGGGATTTGGTAAGGGATAGGGACTAATTAAGTCTACTGATTTGTACCTGGAAATTCTCTCTTTACTGTGATTGAATCTTGATAGTTGTGTCTTTTTAATTGCAAATTTGGATAAGAGGACATCTCAATCTACTTCTTTATCAGTTCAAAACCATAGTGGCTGTGGATATCACTATATTTTGACGTTCTCTGAATTGGCTCTTATTGGCAAGTATGATTTGGAGTTATCCATTTGGATGGTAGATGTTGTTTGCCTAGGGATCACTTTGTAGCCCTTTAACCTGACGTGCTTCAGAAAATTGCTAAATCTTGTAGTATAGCATGTTATATGTTCTGAGCTGGTACAATTACTCAATTAAATCACGATTCAATGGGAGTGGAAATCTGGTTATCTAATTGAGAGCTTTCTTCTTCAATCTTGACTCAGGCTAACTACCGCACATGTGCTCAATTTTGTTGGAAGAATACTTGACATCCTTTTTCATTGACCTGGTACATGAATATATCTAAACATTTTTATGAACTCCTAAGTCGCCAAAAGAATTGGTCAAACGCGCAGAGTGGCTTCTTGTTTGGGATGAATTGCTCTCCACTATGCATCTTGTATTTTTTAGTACTCGGAGCAATCCCCCTCACTGGGGTCATTTGGTTATTAATAGTTTCTCTTCTTGTGGTTTTGACAGAGGCCACTTTTGAAGTACTACCTAGGCTTAATGAAATCAAATTTGGCAGTGGTGTCCTTGATGAACTTCTTTTTCTGGACATGCCTAAAGAAGTCAGGTTTCCCTCAGGGATAATGGTGTTAGAGTATGGAAAAGCTGTTCAGGAGAGTGTGTACGAGCAACTTCGTGTTGTTCGTGAGGGTCAGCTTCGTATCACATTTGCTAATGATCTCAAGGTTATTCACCAATGTACTTTCTTAAAGACAATGTCCTAAATGCTCTATTCCTGTGAAGGTTTTTGCTAAATTTTGGTGTTGATCAGATACTGTCGTGGGAATTCTGTGCCCGTCGTCATGAAGAACTTCTTCCTCGGCGCTTGGTTGCCCCACAGGTACCAACCATGGTTTCATCAATCATGACACGCCATTAACAGGAGTCAGCACCTCGCATTCTGCAATATTAGAACAAAAGACCTTGTTTACTAACTGAGCTTTTCATAGATCTCTTAATGACGTTCCGAGCTTTTTGTACTGTTGGTATATGATGTTACAACCTGACTCTGGTTGGACGTTGAATAATTGCCATCTGTTTGTTTCCTTGGTGTTCCATTCCTGACATTTATAACCTTCGATCACGACTATACATTTTCTGCAGGTAAACCAGTTGGTCCAGGTTGCGCAAAAGTGTCAGAGCACAATTGCTGAGAGTGGAGCTGATGGGGTGTCCCAACAGGATCTACAAACAAACAGTAACATGTAAGTTCATCAACTTGGTGGCTTTTCTCGCAACTTGTTCCATACCTTTTGTTTTGTTTTTGGATTCCTTCATCAAAGGCTCTTACTGGCTAGTACCCGAGATACATTTCTCTTGCTTGGTGATACATATACATGTTAAGATGGTTGTCTCAGTAGCTATGTTCCTTTCTCACAGTCAAGTGATGGTAAGGGGGGTGAAAAAGGTTCTCCAGAGTTTGATGGGTTGGCTGTGTCCTCTTACCTGTTTTTATGGTTGTATGACCAGTGTCGCTGCTTCATTGCATGTTCGCTGGTTAATTAAAATGAGTTCTTAATAAATATATGACTGCTGGCATGGTGTTTCTCTTGCTCACTGCAGCATGTAAGTATGCAAATTTTGTTGTTAACTATTTTCTCAATGAAAGATCCTGTTAGAAGAGGGCACCAGTTGGGGCTATATTGCACATACTGAATGGATGGTTCATCCCCTTCTTTCGCCTATGCATAGATCTAGTATATTGTTTTAAGCTTCTTTTTTGGTTCATGCAGCTTTATGGATGGCAGATAATGATCTTGTTCCTTTTCCTTTTAGGGTCCTGACAGCTGGACGTCAGCTTGCCAAGAGTCTGGAGTTGCAGTCACTCAATGACCTGGGATTTTCCAAAAGATATGTGAGGTGTTTGCAGGTAAGCTGTCTCATGGTGTATGATTGCAGTAGATGCTCGGATTTCTTTGTTCTTAATGATTCCACTCCAACTGCAGATCTCTGAGGTTGTCAACAGCATGAAGGATCTCATAGATTTCTGTCGGGAGAGCAAAGTTGGCCCTGTTGGTAATATACGCATTTCCATCATTTTCTTTGGGGGGTATTTGTGTTGCGGTGGCGTTGACAAATATAACTCTTTGAAGTGTCTTCTCCTTTTTCCCTCAAGTCTACTACTCATTTTCTGAACAATCTGATGGTAAACATTTTTTGTGCATTGTTGCAGAGGGTTTGAAAAGTTTCACTCAACAGGCCTCAGCTGCAAAACTCCAGATGCAGAAAATGCAAGAGATGCAGCAGATAGCAAATGTTCAGGGTCTGCCAACTGATCGCAATACACTCAATAAGTTGATGGCCTTACATCCTGGTATTAACAATCACATGGGTAATAACCAGCACATGGTCAATCGCGGAGCCTTAAGCGGTTCTGCGCAAGCTGCCTTAGCTCTGACTAGTTACCAGAACATGCTTATGCGGCAGAACTCCATGAATACAAGCTCCAACTCCCTTCAACAAGAGGCATCTTCTTGCAACCATTCCAACCAGAACCCACCTTCTACGTATCAAGGGCCTGCTGTTTTATCTGGATCCATGCAGAAATTACCTGTCAGCAGCTATTCAAGCCCTCATCTCACTCCGCAGCAAACCCAGCAGTTGCAGCAGCGCTCGGGGAGCACCAACAGTTTACTCTCCCCAAACCATCCTCAGTCGTCCCAAGGCAACCAAGCTTTGGAGCAACAGATGATTCAGCAGCTGTTCCAGGAGATGTCTAACAACAGTTCTGGTCAGAATACAAATGGAAATGTGGCAAAAAATGGCATGGGATATGGGAGTAATAATGCAGCACCACAAGCATCTGCATCTAATGTGTCAGGTGGTGCTGCAGGGCCGGCGCCTAGTAGGAGCAACAGCTTCAAAGCCGCTTCGAACAGTGAGGCCTCTGCGGCTGGTGGCAATGATGGTTTCAGCCAGAAAGGGCCTGATTTGCCTCAGGGTCTCCATTTACAAGATGATATGGTTCAGGATATAGCCCAAGAGTTCACAGATGGCGGGTTTTTCAACAGCGATCTTGATGATACGATGGGCTTTGGATGGAAGGCATAAGCGAGAGACTAACGTGATACAAGGTGCAATCTCCATTGGCAAAGTGTGTACCCTTTTGTACAGGATATTGAAATAGGTGCTCCTCATCTTAATTCTTTTTTTTTTGGCATCTCTTCTTATTTAACTTTATTAATTGTGGAATTTGCTGTGACTTGACAAACTTGTTGCAGTAGGTATTTAGCAATCTTTTCAGAAGGGTTTCTTGTTTTCAAGTGATGCAAGTGTAATCTAGTGAACACAATCTTGAGAAAGAACTGCTTTGTTTTCGTTCCAACTTTTCTCCCCTAATTTTAGGGTGTGGTTGGCTCTTGGCACCTCAACTTATGACAGCCAATAATGATAACTGTCACCGGTTTTCGTGACCTATTTGGTCGAGACAAGATGTTAACTAAACATCTTCCGGTTTTGTCGACGGGCAGTCATCTGTTTTTTTTTTTTTTCCTTTTTTCTTCCACTTGTTCTCATGGTCTAAATTTGCATGCGCAGCGTCAGCAAGGTCGCTATGCTAACTGTGTATTTGATTAAGATAGACACAAATCTCAAGAAGTTAACCTGCAAGTAGTGCTAGAATTGTGTTTTATAGATTGACTGCCATCATGTTAGTTGCAACAGGAATGGAAGAAGATAACAATCACAATCTCCAATACTCAAAAAATAGTATCTCACTTATATGATGTCCCTGCCTGAACTGCTCTGAATAAAAAACCTCAGAAACATTCTGAATACAATGTGTACATGATCGGAGTGTTGCCAGATGCATATTCGTTCAGAAAGAAAGCAAATTGACCAGTGCCAATCAAATCTACGGCTATTACTTTCTCTGGTATAGAAACCTAAGCATGCTGTGGAATCATTTCAACCCTCGCCTGGGCATATCAGCACACAGTCTACACAGAGTCCACCTTTCGTGTGCGTACAATCAATCTGGACCATTGAAAACTTGATCCTAATGGGTGCGTCCTGGTTCTCGACCACAAAGTCACCCACACGGTACTGGACCCAATCCCCTGGTTTATCCAGATAACGTTCGGACACGGTGCTCTGACCGTTCGATGTTGACAGCTGAAATCGGACAGGTTTGATGTCCCAGCCGTGAACCTGATTGAGGTCGCATGTCCGCCGACAGAATCGCCTTGCGGTTTTGCCCAGTTGGAGCCTGAAATATAAGCTATATGTGCCTGGCGAGAGCTGGAACTCAAACTCCCCCACAACTTCAACCCACCACATCTGTTGAAGATACGCCACTGTGCTGAACCTAGTGATAAAAGGAGAGGGCTATTATTTTTCAATCTCTTTCATCACGCAAAAAGAAATGAATGGTTCTTTCCTTGCAATTTCCCCGTGAGAAAACGTTCTTAAATTGAGGGTATAGGATCCCGTCATTGTTTTTTTGGTTCAGACTCTTCTTTCTCCCTGCTGAAATTCAACGGACATCTCTTACTTTTTAATCAGATGGGTGCTGGTTGACCTCTTTTTCGAGAGGGTTGACCCCTTATACATCAGAAGAAGTTGGCCCTACTTCTCCGGAAGGGGGTCAAGCCATCAAAAAAGGAGTCGAACCCGGCATCTCCGATCGGGTTAATTAAAGAAGATTTAGATGAATAAATCTTGTCCCTCAAATTTCACTGAAGTATAAAAAATGTCTCTGAAACATTCTTATATTCAGTTCTTCTTTTTTGTCTCAGATAATTTTATAGATTAATCTTCATTATACTCAACCTATGGTAAAAAAAAAAAAAAACGTATGGTCGAGTTAGAGTACGAAAAGGAAAACAAACAACTGCCAGTGATGCTAGAGAATTCCGGACATTTGGAAATGGAATTTTGTTTGCTTGTGAGTTCGATCCACAGTTTTGGGTCCAATAATTCCTCTTGCTGAGCAAATTGAAAGAATAATGAAAGGAACTTGTTCCTTCCTTAGAAAGGTGAACTAAGCTCTTACGTTTGTCCAGTCAAACCACGAGAATTGAACAAAATTTTGGAGGAAGATAGCAAACTTTGATCACAAGGCACGTTATTCATCATCATGACTATTAAAGAAATATAAAATATCCCAAGCTTGGTGTAGTCTTCTTACTTGCCTAGCTATCATCTTTTATTCTTGTGCGCAAGATAAAACTTTCTCCAGTTATTGCCTCTGCGAATAAAGTTTATCATATGCTGAATAATTTGACTGTATGAAAGGACTAATTCTCACTTGGTGGATTTCTAACTCAAAGTGATTATCTAGCAAGAGCTTAATATTGTGCTTCACGAGCTTCATCGATGATAGGAACCAACAAAGTTGGCCTTTTGAGATCTATGGCATCTTAAAAGACTAAATGCAGTTCTAATTTAAACACCAATGTCATCTCCAATATTTCGTTGAATAGAAAGGGGAAAATATCGAATCGACGACATAATGGCTCTCGGTTGAAGTGATTTCTTTTTCTTTTGCTATTTTTCATTTCAAAACAATCACAGCAGCCAAACCCTCCAACTCAGTGAAATAAGACAGCTGCATTTGAAGCTCTTTACCTGGATTCTTCGCTAGGAATATGGTTCCAGTATCTCCGGTCATCAATCCCAGTTATCTTCAGCGCCTTTGACGAAACCGCCACACATATACTTCCAGCAATCTTATCCAACAAAGCTTCCTGCAAGTGAGATGATTTAAAACACGACACACATGCCAGTGAGCTCAAGCATCTCTTATGGTTAACTTTTAGTAAAACATGGGGGCTCTAAATTCTTATTTACTTTGTTTTTCTGCATATTGGTTTATGTACAGATAATACCTGCAGGCATATGTAATAGTGTGTATGTATTAGAAATGATAGTGGGCATGAACTGGTTTGGGTAATGGTCAACCCAACACTACCTTTGTGCCACCATCAAAGCAATTGGGTCTACACAATCTCGAGAAGATCTCTTTCTTTCCCATGCATCGTGGGTCTTCACCAAGAACTCTCTCAACCAGAAAACGATAGTTGGGAGGCAATTTCGACTCCCAAACAACATCACTCGATGAAGCATCTCTGAAAGCTCTGTTCAAGCATGCGAACCGGCAAATCTCCGGGGGATCCAAGAACTTGAGAATGGAGGTGACGCAACTCTCAGGCAAGTCCCCAAGACAGGTCCCTGAAGGTGAGACTGAGCACCCTTTGGCCTCATCAGCAAGGCCCGATATTGCAGACCCCATAAGCACAATGAAGGCGATCACTTCGCGAGATGATTGGGAAAAAGAATCAAGAGGAGTGAAGAAGAAAGATCGTGAGAATCTACAGGTAGAGAAGGAGCTGGAGGAGGTGAGAGTTGAAGAAGGGCCAAGCAAGCGGGAGTTGAATTTCCACCATTGTCTTTTTGTCAAATGAAGAAGAGCCTTTGGTCATTTAGAGAGAGAGAGAGAGAGAGAGAGAGAGAGAGAGAGAGAGAGAGAGAGAGAAAGAGAAAGAGTACAAGGAAGAGCGAAATAGAGATCCATTTAGTATATGTTCCTTCCTTCTTGCGAGTAACTTGAATTAAATTTAATATACTAAAATAATCACATATCAAGAAAGAGCGAGACTCGCATTAGATTTTTCCTAAAACATCGTATGTTCCTACGCAATACTCAATTTTCTACCGTACGACTTGGTTCAGCCCATAACATAATCCACGGAATCAGCTTAGTCCATATTTTTTTTCTTGTATATAATTACAAATGAATTTTATATACCTCCACGAGATTGGTGATGTTCGGAGATTAGGTGTTGTTTGTGGATCTAGGATTCTAAGTTGAAATTCGGTTGGGTTTATTGTGCCAGATTCATTTTGTCCTAGAGTTGATTTAAACAGATTATTAAGTGTGTACAGAGAAGTGGCTGGTGTCAACCCTATTATGTTAGTGGTAGCGAAATGTACATGAGGTGCATGAAAACCAAGATGAAATTGCACATATATATATATATATATATATATATATATATATATATATATATATAAGAACTTCACAAGATTTATTATCGTCTCATTTGTCTGGTACGAAAGAGACTATATAAAAGGAACTTAACCATTTTCATTTGAATAACGGGAAAATTATCAAAAAATCCTAAATGTATTGCAATTGTGCTAATTCAGTCGTAAACATTTTCTTTCACCAATTAGATCATAAACTTTTTGCATTTGTGCCAATTCAATCCATCAGGCCAATTTTGACCGGAAATCGCTGACGTGGACGCTAGCTATCCCACGTGTCATGGCAAATGCTAACGTGGACTTTTCCTTACTCCTAGCTGTAGGTCGGGACGCCCTTGCCCGGGGCCAAGCGAGGGCGTTGCCTATGGCCGGCTAGATTGGGAGTTGGGAAAAAAAAAAGAAAAGAAAAGAAAAAAGAAAAAAGAGATTAAAATATACCGGTCGCGCCACATAGGACGGTTAGCGTCCACATCAGCAATTTTCTATCAAAATTGGCCGGATGAACTCAACTGACAAAACGTGAAAAGATTTAGAACTCAATTGACCAAAAAAATAAAGGTTCAAGATTAAATTGACACAATTGCAATAAGTTTAAGATTCTTTTGATAATTTTCCCTTTGAATAACCATCCAAGCTAAAGTTAGGACGGTAACGAAAGCTGCGGACGGAGAAATCTAGTCTAAGAAAGACGATTTAGGGTAATAAATGGGGCGAAATGGAACATATGAAGATCCCCCACCTCTTAATTAATGTTAAATCCCCTTGCCACCATCTGCTAACAATCTAGAACAACAATCATGGTGATCTGCCCACATGGTTTCACTTGCTTAGCCAATTTCCTTTTGTGTATTAAGGTTGTTTCTTCGATAGTACAATAATGCTCGGTATGAACATGTGTTCTTCCCCCCCCTATACATATATAGAAAATATACATATAGAAGTTAGACAAGCCCATCGACTTTCAAAGGTGAATCCCGTTGATTCCTAACCACGCCCCAGGAATTCAGAGAACAAGACCTACGACTTCTCCCCAACTACGGCCTTAATTATACATATATATACACATTATTAAACTATTTTATTTGTTGCTTAATTGTAGTTTTATATGGGCGACCATCTTTGTCATTGACCGTAGCACTTGGAAGACAGCTAAATCGTCGGATTAACCTGTCAAACCTAGAAAGTCGTTCGACAAGTTCACCTTCTGTAGAAGCCATCGGCTGAAGTGTAAGACATGCTTAGGTCTCGTGTAATCATCTTTCTGAGGTAGAAATTAGCTATTTCTAATTAAAACGTTGTCCCCATCCAATTTCGTAAATGAGTACTGCACAATAAATTTTATTATGTCCATACATATATTGATGGAAAAGTTGTGGATAGTAAACTGGTGATGTGGTTTCTTGAGAAATTTGCAATGATTTTTTTAAAATCTTTTTCTCAGTTCCACACTTTGCTTCCTGTCACCTTAATTAATTACTTTCTTGTTTTGGAAAATATGAAAAATATATTAAGTAAAATAAATTTAGATAGTGATGAAGTGGTAAGGCCTGTTGAGAATTTTTATTTTATTGTTTTGATTTTTCTATTTCTAATTCACACTTTACTTATTACATTCTTAATTATAATGAACTATCAAATATCTTGCTATTTATGAAAAGAAAATTTTATATATTACATGAACTCGAATGGTATAAAAGTTATCTTGCCTCTTGATCAAGATTTCAAAAGCTTTGAATACTTTCCAATAATCCTCTTAAATTAATGTGTTTATACTCTTACCATTCCCAACCGAAAGTTCTATTCCAACGCACATTGCAACAAAATGTTTCTAATTAAGTGGAATGAGAAGGGTGAATCCATTTTGTTGAAGTGGTCTTCTTGAAAATTAGAAGGTATGCAATTGGTGATATTCCTTTTTATTTTTAACTATAATTATAACTACATCTTTCTCATTTTTAATTGTGCATATTACTCTTTGCCTTTTTCGCACAATAAGAAAGTCACATTACACCTATCTTATAATAGTTTGATTTCTCATCTTACCAAAGTTCAACCTTTTATGATGCTTCGTCAAGAACTTTGCCATAGATTTGATCATTTTTACAACCATGTAGCGCACTTTTTGATAAATATTACTCCAATTAACATTTACAGTTTGGCATTATATATTACCAACACAATGCAATGATATGATTAATTACGAGTCATTTTGCCAGTTTAGCTCCATCTCTATATGGGTTTCGTGAACAACAATTTAAACGCTACTCGAACAATGAAAAACAACATTTTTTTTTTTACAAAATTGCTTTCTAGACATGGGTAAACAGTGTTATTGTTAACTTTGTACATTAAGATTATCGAGATAAAAATCATTACATGTATAAGTTTTGCCCGCTTGACTTATGTACACTTTCTCTTGATCAAAATAAAACGTTAAAAAAAGAAAAACATGCATCAAACGTGGGGTACCCTAGTGATATTATGAAGAGAAATCAAATATAGTAGGTTCTCTACATTACCTACCGACTTATATGATCCCGAGTTCTGTCCACTCAAATTGCTGTGCGATTTCTTCTTTGATTGGTCAACTTTCACGTTCCAATTTCACGGCAATTCTTTAAGAAGAATGGGCTATAAAATATGGGGAAAGTCAAGGAAAATTAATGCAGAAAATAATCAGATGACTAGGACCAATTATTGCCAAAATCCATTCAGATCACGCGGAATTACATAAACATTAGGAAAAGAACAAATTTTGCAGTCGAACGACCTTTATTTTGATTTTTGGTCAGTTAAAAAAGGTGCATTTAGTCAGAGATCATAAAACACGTGAGGTGTACATGGAGCTTTGCATCATAACATAACAAAACCCTAATTGGGCTTGCAGAGGGTATAAGGCCCGATTTGATTCTCGGTCTTTTCTCTTTAGGCTTTAGCGACCCGGTCAGTAATGACAAACCTTTACATGCTTAGAAAAAGCGTGCAAACCCGCGTGCAAAATATTAATAAGCAAATCATATCGTCGACTTTTTCCATTCATTCATCGAATCGTCAAAACTCAATAACGTCGAACCTTTACATACTTTAACCCGATTTTTACTCATTGACGTTCAGATCCCATCATTTCAATTCGACCAGGGATAGCATGTACTACCCAGTCTTGATTTGAGAGAGTTTGATCCGATTTGGTATTCTGTTTGGGCAAAAAATAAAAAAGAATTTTCAATTTAAACTTTTTTGGGTGTCCCTAATTACAATTAGGTTATCAATTGGAGGGATACAAAAGCCATAATAGGGCCATCGAGCAATGGCTGGTTCCATCATCTATAACATAATGGGCTACAAATTCAAGACTTTGTTTTCTTTATCTTTTGTTTGTAATTAGTCTTGAAGTTGCTAAGATAAGAACGTCATCTCCCTGGGCTGAGCCCAGTGAGTTGAAAGTACAGTGATTGGTCTACTGAAAAACCATAGGATTAATGCCTTAATGGATGACAGTGCCAGATTTCGCCCACATCCAATGTAACTCCAAATCAAGAGTCAATTTGATGGCCCGACTTCACTAGTTCTTATTCGATTGTTTCTTATAGTCATTACCCTCAAAATTTCGTATTAATTTCACATTCCTATGTATGAGACGGGTGGGGGAAGCTGATATGCTGTCCAAATGAATCGATGGTTGTTCGAATTATTCTTTTTTCTTGAAAGGTGATATGTCGACCGGGTTTAAGGAATCTGCATGGTCACGAAATTATGAACTCCTGATATGCATGCGAAAATTGACGATATAGAACAATAATTGGTTACATTCACCATCACTCCTTCCTTTGCTCCGGCCCTTTGTCTCCTCTTTAGAGCCCACTACAAACTACCCAAAGTTTAAACGATTGCACCCGAGCAAAAAACCTGAAGTCTAATCGAGTGGCTTTCGCATATAATATAGCTTTTATTTTCAATTACATCATCATTCATGGCGGGACATGATAGTGTGAAAGTGTCTGTACTAGTAAGTTTGTTGTTAATTTTAGATAATGCATGTGTATGATTGTGCAGAAACAGAAACTCATCCTCCATTTGCTTCAAAGAAGAAAGGGACGCTTTGCTCCGGCTCAGACAAAGTCTCTCGGACACATCTCACCTCCTTTCTTCCTAGAACGACGAAGATTGTTGCCAATGGACCGGAGTAAAGTGCGAGCGAGCAAATGGACATATTGTCATGCTCTATGTTAAAATATTCCACATCGCTTAACTATGGGATATATATAATCTTTATGTACTCGCGGTCCCCTCTACCTATTGCCCTAATTAATTTGGCGTGTGCATTTACCCCATTCGTCTAATTCCACATGTTGGCTTACACGTGAGAGGGGTGTTAAAATATTCAATAACCATTTGTATAGAGCAAGATAGAGATACTCCGCTCTAGTTTAG